GAAGTGATGTTTAAGCCTCATTTTTATAGGAAATGTGCTGAACAAGAATTTCTTTGTTTTTTTGTTTGTTCAAGACAGGGTTTCTTTGTGTAGCTTTGGAGCCTGTCATGGAACTCATTTTTTTAAACCAGGTTGGCCTTGAATTCATAGAGATTCACCTGCCTCTGCCTCCTGAGTGCTGGGAGTAACGATCTGCACCACCGCCACTGCCCCAAGCCCATTGTCATCATCTTCCCTTTTCCCTTCTCCCCCAGAAGCTCATTAGGAAAGTGACACAAAACCCAGCCCTAACTGGTGAGAAGCAGAGGGAATTTTGCTAGTAGGGACTTCTGAGAAAAATCACTCTGATGGAACAGAAGAAACATTTGAGGAGGAGCCTGTGTTCCCTTTCATGCTTCTGGACAGTTGGTTGAGGGCGTGGCATGCAGAAGTGCTCCCACTCTTACCTGGATAGTGCTCTAGTCCCAGATAAAAGACGGAACAGTGTAGCCCAGCAAGCCCGTGCATGTTCAGCTTGAAATAGAGTTACTCATGGAAATGTGGATATTACCAACTAGCCCTTCATCTGCCTTGGCTTGAAGCTGAGCTGCCTAGTGGACCATCGATCAGTGGGAAAGAATGTGGTTCCAAATTGGTAATAGCTATTGCACAGGACTACTGTGACAATAGCTAGCCAATGTATCGTCTGACATCCTGGGCCACTGTCAAATGATAAGCTTCAGAATTTGAGATGGCCTCCCAGTACTACCCCTATATGAAGGGAAATACAGAGAGGAAGTTCTTAGAATGCCTTAGAGTTTTGGAACTTATGAAAACAGAAAGGTTAGTGTCTCTTGGTTTCTAAAGGCAGGAGTCTTGCTGACATAGCCAAGCAAACAATATTAGGTGGGGACCATGGAGTCATACAGCTCAGACAAAGAGTAAAATACAAAGTTGAGTCTACCCTCACTATACAACGTGACCAAACAGCCATGGCATTACTAATCAGATAACTTGAAAGTTGATTTAATGGCAGAGCCCAGCTGGAAGCACTGTCCAGGAAAGAAATGAAACCATATCTGGTTTGTAGACCCAGTTTGAGGTGTGCAGTAAACTGGCAGTAGTTCATTTTTCTCACTGTCTAAAAATGTCACTGCTATCTTCATTGCTGAGACTTCACCACATGCTCTCACCTGGACCACCGATAATCACAATCAGCAGTGAAGGCCTCCATATGCCTTCTCTCTGTTCAGGTTCTTCCTACTTGCTTGTGCCAATATACATTGTGTGTACCTGGTTCTTGCAGTAGTCAAGCTCCCAGCAGTATCAGTATACATAATTTAAGCCTATGAGTCTCTGAGCTTACAGAAACGTTCAAAGATAGTTAGTCAAGTGGAATCCAAAGTATTATTGCGGGAATTAAAATCGTTGATTGCAGCAGCAGTAACTTGGGTTTTTTGAACACTTTCTCCAAGCCTGCCTCTGTAGAGGTGCTCTGCCTGCAGCTCATCCCATCCTTACAACAGGCTGAGGAGAGCATTGTGCTCCCATGCTCCCAATGACAGTGAAACCATGTCTGTCTGTCACTGCCTCTCTGTGTCATTGAAGAGAGCACTATGCAGCAGCTGGGTGGCTAACACATTTCTCCAGTGAGAGGTTCTCACATCACAAAGCCAAGAAGGGCCAACATCTGACTTTGAACTCTGATCTACCCACTACTGTGCATGTTCATTCTGTTCCATCCAGGCTCCTATTTCTCTGACCTTTCATCTACTTTGACAGCCTTCTCAGCAGTCTTGCCTAGGTGGGAAAAGGCTCAGTAGGTAAAAATGCCTGTCTGGCAAGCATGTGGACATGAGTTGAAATCACCAGAACTGACATAAGAGCTGGATATGTTAGCAGCAGCATCAGTAACCCCCGTTCTCCTGTAAAGAGACAGAACGAGGAGACAGGAGAATCCCAGAATCCTGTGGGCTAGCTAGCTTGGTATATTCAGCAGAAGAACCACAAGAGAGCCTGTCTCAAACAACATGGTGAGACCTAAGGTTGCCTGCCCTCTGACCTACATGCATACATGCGGTGTGGTACATGTCAACCTGCATACACACACACACACACACACACACACAAACAAACAAACAAACAAAGGTTCACCATCACATTTGAGTGTGCATTCCTGTGGATGAAATCTGGAGACTTAAGAGCAAAGCAAATGGAGTAACAAAGGTGCAGTCTGATGACCCCGAGTTGAAGCCCTGCTAGTGACTCTCTTCCATAGGTTCCATGCAGCACAAGCTGTCCTCAGCCCCAGGGCAGGGTGTCCCAACTTTGCTGGTGCTGGGGCAGGATTAGGAAGCAGCCAGTGCTAACAAAAGATACAAACATATACATTTTTTCCCAAATTTTACAGCCCACAGATCGCTTTCATGAATTTTGAGTCTTGTAGTCACCCCACAAGATAGACATCATTATGCTCAATTTATTCATAAACTAGATATATCATTCATCCTCTGGACTTTGTTGGACAGTTTCAAATATAACACTTCACTTAACTATCACAAGTCCTACGGAGTAAAAATTATCATTGTGTCTTAAGGAGAAGGAAACAGAGAGTCCTGAATGATATACTCACTGTCTCCTACACTCAAGGACAGAGTTGGGGTTTGAATGAGAACTATTTTCTAGGGCAAAATCCTACTCAGTCTGTAATCCATGCTAGGCTCCCACAAGAAAGCCCTGTCTCCCAGACTCTTGCAGACTAGCCAGACCCCACAGCTGTCCCATGAGTGTGTCTCCTGTCATTGGCTGGGAATGCAAATGACCTGTCTTTGTAGTTCACAGGACTACTGATCCAGAAAGAGCTTTGTCTCAGATGCTGCACTCAAGGAGCCTCATTGACAGCCTGGCCTGATTGATGACAAAATCCTATACCTTGAACCTGAGCCTACCACCACACTGGGGTGGGGCTTTGTGGTTACTGGGAAGTGGTGAGTATGGCAGGCATGTGGAATAAATGAAAAGGAATTGTGGTCAGAGGGCAGACCACCATGGTACTTCTAAAGCATGATTGCTGAACCCATTCATACTCCTCCCTGAAGTGCCTGCTCCCTCCGTGTAGGGGGCTCAAGGCTTAATAAACTGACTTCTTTTGTCTTCTGGCTTTGGGAATGCATGGTCTTCCATCCTAGCCGTGGTTATTATGTGGGAGCCACAAAAGTCCCAACTCTGCTGCCTTAGACTCACCACTCCTCTGAGTTTCCTCCTCTGTGCATAAGGGTAACAGGACTTACTGCTTAGCGGTCTTGTGAAGACTTGGGGAGGAGTTGTCAGGGAAGTGACAGCATAGTACACAGCCCATAATAAATCTTCAGCAAATTGGGTATCCTTTTCATGGTGGGTTTAGGCTGAGAAGTTTTCTTCACACATCCACCTGACCTCAACAGGAGGGAGAGAGTTCCAGGGTCACAGTGGAGCAGCCCCATCCTGCCTTGGAGCACCATTCCCCAAAAGATTCAGCTTTTTTGGCCTCTGCTCAGCTAGCCCCTCCAGATGAGAATGAGGCTCCAACACAGCTGCTGAGCTTTGCTCACACATTTCCCCTTCACGACTGACTGAGCCCTGACACAGGAAAGAAACATTCTGTTGAATCATGTAAATCCCCACTCATCTCCAAATTGGGTGCTGGAGTGCCTCAGGGAAGTGATTTTACAACCTCACTGACTCCAGCCAAGGTAGGCTTCAATTGCTCTTGCAAGATAATTCTGCCTCAACCTTGCCTGGCAGCAAACTGAGCAGGATCTCCCTCCTTCTTGCCAGAGAGATGGCCCCTCAGGCTGAAGGAGAATAGCATCTTCCCCCAGCAGGCAAAAAAAGGCCAGGCTTAAGCCACCTTCTGCAGCCCTTCCTGGAAGGTACAGGTACAGGTAGAATTCCATCCTCACCTGAACAAAAGCTCACAGAGAAGCTTGGAAGGGCTGTTGTAAGAACAGTACACTGTAAGTCCAGTGTACTGGACTGGGAGGTTAAAGTTGTCTGGGCTTCCCCTCACCCCTCGAGGATTTCAGAGGCAGGGTCATGCTATGATGGACTGAGCCATCCTCCTGTCTTCACGCAAGAAAACACTTTCCAGGCTGCTGTGCCCCTGGGGAGAGCTGTTATCTGTTCTTGTATGGCTGCCTCTTTAAAAAATTTATTTCCAAATCTGGGCCCGCCAATAGATTATTCAACCCATAGCCAACTGAGCTGCAGGAAGCACAAACAAGTAGCCTTGGCCTCTACTTGCCTAACACAGCCCTGTCTTCCTGAGACACCCTGGCTACCTCATCATAGGTGACTTGGGTTCCCAGGACTTCTTTGAAGGATTGTTTTTATCTCAAGTTGTTGGGAGCCCAAGTCCTAGTGCACATGTTAGAAAACAGGTCAGCACCCCCCTCCAGTAATTGTCATTATAAAACTGTGTCAGTCCATCAGTGTTGGGACTTAACAACCACACAATCATGATTTCATGCCACAGCTAGCTCCTTAAGGCAGATCTTACTGTCCACATTTCATATCTGCAGAAACAAGTTCGGTCATCAGATTTGTCCTAGGGCATACATGGCTATGCGGCAGAATTAGAACTTCAGTTCAGCCATCATGAACCTTCGCTGAACTCTCTAGGGAAGTCCTCCCCAGAGGAGTTCACTCTCCAGACTGCCAACTGTATCCCAGCCAGTTTCCTTTCAAACTCCATCCATAGCTCACCTCATCCAGGCCCTTGCTTAGTACCAAGTGCTGTGCTGAGTCACAGAAATAGCTTTTTTCTTCCCCAGCATTTGCTCTGCAGACCCCAGTGCCATTTCTGCTATGCTTTGGGATGAACAGCTTCACCAAACTCAAACTCCTACTGCATGGGCCTGTGCCATATCCCCCCACTGCCAGCCCCAGCCTGGGTCCTGCTATCAAGGCTGGAGTAGACCGGCCTTTACAGAGAATGGAGCCATGGAGAGACGTCTAGGAAACCCCAGTCAAGCAAAATCAGCATGGGCTTTCAGTCATGCAGCCGTCTTTATGAAAAGAATAAATCCACGTTTCCTGAGTCCAAGTGGACAGTCCACATGGGTCAGTCTTCCTTCGCCAGAGGAAACTCCCTGCTCGTACCACAGCCCCTGAGCCGCCATGAGGAGCAGGTAGCACTTCTGTCTTAGCATCCCTTTAGTCACACGAGGGTAGGCAACTTTGCCAAAGGCTGTCATCATGTAGCCACACATGGTCAGTTCTGCCCAAAGTCATAGTGCAATCTGGGGACACAAGGAGAATCCATTTATTAGCTGCAGAATGGAGGTTGACTGTTCAGAAAACGGCTCTTAGGTAGAATGAAGACCCTCAATAACCTGGTGTTGCATGCAAACAAAATCATGACAAAGTGGAAACCCGAGTAACAGGAGCACCAGGGGGACTGAAAGCATTGAAGGAAGCTGATGGTTGGCAGAAAGAGCGGCAGAGAGATGCCAATAAGAAGCTTCTGGTGGACTATGCCAATCATGGGCGCTGGGTGCAGGTACAGCGAGCATTAGCTGATACTGCTAGACTCAATGCGCACAGCTGCCCTGGTGGGAGGCCTAGCTACACGGGATACTATTCTAGGATTCCCAGGAGCACCATCTGTCCCTTCTGCCAAGAGCATCTGCACAGAGGTCCCCTCCAGTGTGCCTCTTCTTCCCGGCGCCATCTACATAAGCCCCTTCATTATAACAAAGAGACACTGCCAAAGCTCCCGGCTACACTCGGGTGAATGTGTGCATGGTAATTGGGTTGGTTGTATTTTATGGACTCTGAACTGAATTGATTATATGCTTTATCTGGGCATTGTGAAAATAAGGGGCTCTGTTTGTGTCTTGCTGATGGTCACCTGTCTTAGTTTTACCCTTCCAGGATGTGCCTTTCTGTGTGTTTTCTCATTATTATAACTCACAAGATTTCCTCTTAATATATCGCTAACAAACTTCAAGTTCCTTTTTAAAACAAGACAATAAATAAGTATTTCCACTGAGGTAATACAAAAGTTGGGCCATGGTGGAAAATAATTGATGCATGGGATTCAAAAAGAGAATGGTTAAGAACAGGACCTTACAGGAGGTGTAGACAGGGTTGAGGAAACCAGTGAGACGATGTCATGACCAGGGGCCATTACCACCAGAGGAGTTTCTCACCCACCCCAAAGCCAAGGTATGAAGAAGTACAAGGAGACACAGGGACTGTCTGATCCACAGCACAATGGGAGGAGGGCAGGAGAGATGCTGTGACCGTCTTATTTCACCTTAGGACCTCACACCCGGAGCCTCCCAACTAGAACCTGACAGCACCACCCAAGCCACGGTTCTCTGTGACTCAGCCTTCTTTGGCATAGAGAAAGGCTGACGAAGATGGAGAGGTAGGGGAGGAAGTTGAGAATGAGCTGCAGAGATGAATATGAGGTCTGAGGGTTGAACATCATGAGCTCAACACGCAGTGATCACACACACACACACACACACACACACACACACACACACACAACAGAGCTGGGCAGGCAGAGCTGAATAGCCCAACCCCATTCTACGAGACTGCTGCTGCCCCACCTCTCAACTTCACAGCAAACCTTGTGCTGGGTCCTTCCTTGTAGTTTTCCTTGATTCTAGAACTATACCTTGACCCATAGAGTTCCAGAAGTTTGCATGGTGCCTGCAAATCATGCCTAATGCTTCTTACCTCCAAGTCCTTCAGAGTACAGCTTGTTTAGTCTGTGTGGACTGCTGTGATCCCAGAATGTCACAGACTGGGTTTTGTTCTAATGTGTCCTCTTATACCATGCTGCTCTACTTAGCAAGAGCATGGCTTGCCCAAGCGGCTGGGAAGAAAAGAGGGGAACCTTGAAGACAGTGGCTCCTTCTATTATAGCAAGCACTCTCCCAAGCATGGAGATTTACATGGGAAAACAGTTGTCTTTTGGATGCAGTTGCCTCCAGTTTTCCATCATCTGAATCATGGCCAAGGAATAAATTGAATCTTTTTCTAACATAGAATATATTACTCTTGAAATAGTAGGAAATGCTGATAATTGCCTTTTATTGGACTTGCAAATAATTTATAAGTTGGTCCGATTTAAGAAAAAAAAAAAAGTATTATAGTCTTATTTCTTTGGGTTTTTCCCCCTTGAGGCAAGTATCCCTCTCTAAAATTAGAACCAGTGTAGAGATGGGCCTAGCGCTCCCCCTGGTGGTCAGGATGTAGGATTGCATGTTCCGTAAAGGCACCTGAAGCTGGAGGCTACATTTAAATAATTCCTTTTCCCCTAAGTACACAGAAAGATTTGATTTATTCTTCCCAACCATCTCTGCGTTATAGAGTACTCCTTATAAAGTCCATCTGCTTTGAGCATAAGTAAATGATCTTTTCCTCATATACATTATCAGGCAGTGAACATCTCTCTGAGGTGGGAACAGCTTCCCTGGTTCTATCAAATGTCAGGGAAGCTGGGAGTTTCTTCTTTGCTTAAGGAGATACAGAGGAAAGAAACACAAGTTGGTTGTCAGAGAAGCAGGGCGAAGGGTGTTGAGGGGATGACTCAGTGTGAATATGTCTGTAGGAGTGATGTAGTAGGGAGATGGAGAGATAGAGAAGGCTACGAAATGGGATGAGCAGCTTACCTGAATCCACTTACAACCTGTTGGAGGCAGGATCCTGGGATGGCCTTCCTTGGTGTAGCAGGTAGGTACTCTCCTTCTCCCGGAAACACTATTTCCTTGCAGGTAGCTGGGGACCTATGCGGCAGTTCCAGCCAGTGGACGGAAGAGTGGCAGCAATTCCTGGCCTAACTCCCAAGCACCCACTGATGGTTCCTACTCTGTCTGTATCCACACCAATGACAATGGAATAGCCCAAGGTATCAGGATCACAGGAGGAAAGTGAGCTCAGCTCTTCTTTTGAAGGCATTTATTTTCTTTTTGAGATTAAGATATAACTGCATCATTCCATTCTCTCTTTCCTTGCCTCCCTCCAAACCCATATATCCCTCCTTGCTCTCTCAAATTCATGGCCTCTATTTATTACTATTGTCATTTTACAAACACACACATATAAGTAAAAGTGTGTGTAACACACACACACACACACACACACACACACACACACATTCCTAAATACATACATGCATACAACCTGCTCTGTCTGTATAATGTGACTTGTATATGTGTCTTCAGGATTGACCATTTGGTACTGAATAGCCAACTGGTGTGCTGTTCCCTGAGGAAGACTGATTCTCCTGCTCTCAGCATTCCTTAGTTGCCTGTAGTTCTTTGTCTAGGGTTGAGGCCTCCCCGTCTTTCTTCTGCCCACTTTGGCATGTCTAGTGTTGTTCTTGTTCAGCTCATGTTTAGGCAGTCATATTGGTGAGACTTCCTGATTGTATAGCTTCTGACATTCCTAGGAGACAGGATCTCTCTGCAAACTCCATGTATATGGCTCTTGCAATCTTTGGATCCCTTTTCCTCAGTGATCTTTGAGCCTTAGGTGTAGGAGTTATATTGTAGACATATCTGTTGGGACTAGGATCCACAACCTTGTGTTTTGATCAGTTGTGATTTTCTATAATGTTCTCCATTTGTTGCAAGGAGAAGATTCCCTGGTGAGGGATGAAAACTACACTTATTTATCTGTATATAAAAGGACAAATATTTGTTTATGACATAGTTTAATGTTTAGAAAATCTCATTAAGTGAATTTTATAGTGATTTTTTATTTAAATTAGAAACAAGCTTGTTTTACATGTCAATCCCAGTTCCCTCTCCCTCCCTTCCTCCCCTCCCCCAACTGGTCCCTATCCCAGTCCCTTTCTGCTCCCCAGAGAGGGTGAGGCCTTCCATGGGGATCTTCAAAGTCTGTCATATCATTTGGAGCAGGGTCTAGGCCCTCCCCCATGTATCTAGGCCTAGAGATTATCCCTCTGTGTGGAATGGGCTCCCAACATCCATTCGTACACTAGGGATAAATACTGATCTACTACCAGAGGTCCCATAGATTGCCCAGGCCTCCTCACTGACACCCACATTCAGGGGGTCTGGATCAGCCTATGCTGTTTTTCCAGCTATCAGTCTGGGGCCCATGAGCTCCCCCTTGTTCAGGTCAGCTGTTTCTCTGGGTTTCTCCAGCCTGATCTTGACCCCTTTGCTCATCACTCCTCCCTCTCTGCAACTGGATTCAAGGAGTTCAGCTCAGTGTTTAGCTGTGGGTGTCTGCTTCTGCTTCCATCAGCTACTGGATGAAGGCTCTAGGATGGCATATAAGGTAGTCATCAATCTCATTATTGGAGAAGAGCATTTAAGGTAGCCTCTTGACTATTGCTTAGATTGTTAGTTGAGGTCATCCTTGTAGATCTCTGGACATTTCCCTAGTGCCAGGTTTCTTTTTAAACCTATAATGGATCCCTTTATTATGGTATCTCTTTTCTTGCTCTCCTCTTAGTCTTCCCCTGACTCAATCTTCCTGTTCCCCCATGAAGGACAGATATTTAAAATGTAGTTAAGAATTATTCTGGTTTAGAAAAGTAGAAGTTACAGCTTTTCCTCCAAGATCCAAGACTTCACTAGCCCTGGATAGTTGGCTAGGTTTCCAGTACTAAACTTGATTTCCATCTTATTGAATAGGTCTTAAGTCCAATTAGAGTGTTGTTGGTTACCACCTTGGTGTTTATGCCACTACTGCACTCTTAGGGTTATCATGTCAGTGTTTGTTGTGGTTCATAGGTGTCATAGCTGGGTGGGACTGTTGGTTACTTCCCTCCTTTAGAAGTTTGCATGGCGGCTTCTGGTACCATGAAAGCCAGTCCTCAGGAAGAATGTTTTCTGGTCAGTTCCAGCTCCAGACTCTCTCAGCACTAGGTCTGAAGTGCATGGTGTTTCTGCAACCTTGCGGGTCAGGGGTGCAACCAAGGGCAGTAGCAATAGCCTGTAATATTTTGGAAGCCTCTTGGACAACTGAACTAACAAACAACTCAGAAGGCTTCTCATGCCTGGTGTTTGGGTTTTGTTAGATAGTCTTTGACTGTAGAAAGAAGAATTGTCAGCAGATCTGAGAAAATTTCCTTTAAACTTTGCATGTATATTTATACATAGACTCATGTGTATTATAGATATTTTATAGAGATAATTAA